ATTTATGGAAGTATTAATTTTGATAATAGTACTATTCTAGGTAATTTCAACCGAAAACGAACTGCCGAGGAAATTGAGTTGGCGGTGAGAGCCGTGCCGTACATGGCGCGCCAAACCTTGCGTACTTTGGCCACCCACTCTCGAATTCCTAAGACCACCCTCGTCCGCCACATGAAAGAAGTGAAGACTCTCAAGGCCAAGTCAAGTTATTCGAAGCAACTCCTAACAGAAGACAAAAAATAATCACCTGGATAGCCGGTTCCATGCGGCCTGACATTGCCTTTGCAACTAACATGGTCGCTCGCCATTTAAACAATCCGAACGAACACCACAGCAAGGGCGTGAAACGGGTTTTGCGTTACCTCAAGGAAACACGTAATCATGGTCTGCTTCTTAAGCCAGAGACCGATGACGGTGCAGACTGGGCTGGCGACCGGGCGTCCCGCAAGTCGACCACCGGGTGTGTCCTTGGCTGCCCCATTGCGTGGGCCTCGAAAAAGCAGTCCGTGGTTGCCCTCTCGGCCATGGAAGCCGAGTACATGGCGGCCAGCGCGGGAACCCAAGAACGTCTCTGGGTACACCAACTTCTCGTTGAGACTGGGCTCAAGGAAGAGTACACATCATCCGAGCTACAGTGTGACAACCAATCGTCCATAGCGTCAATGAACCAGAAGGTGGTGTCAACTCGTGCTAAGAACATCGACATCCGGTTTCACTTCATACGGGACACCGTTCTAGCCAGCAAAAGCAAGGTTATCTTCTGCAAGACCGGCGACATGCCAGCCGACATCTTCACGAAAGCATTATCCGCCGAGGGCTTAGCCCGAGCCCGTGACCTCGTGAACATTACGACTCTGGACATCGCCAGCCTCGATGGCTAGCGAACCAAGGTCAACCTGAGGGGAGTATTGGAAAGCTACAAGTCTCCCTGCCCGATTCGATACTTTGCACATCAACTACATTTAGATTCACCTCTATTCTTAGTTGACACGATAGAAGTAACAACTAATTCATTCTCGCAGTTTTCGACCTACGATCCAGATGCAGGAAAATCCTATTCAAGCCAATGAAACTTACTTACGCATTCATAACGCACTGTGATTGGACAAATTATGAAAAAATAAATATGGTGTATACTATACGGAGTCTGTGGTACGGCGAGTGGTGGCGAGCCACGGCGGATGTGCGATCAAAGTACAAGTAGTATATAAACGCACAAATCTATAACGTTCGCCTTGGACTGACGTGCAAAACAGTCAAAACTTCTGTTAACCAATTGAAAGGCAATATTTGGGCTCGTAAATTGTTTGCCAATGTGTTTGCACTATTTTAACCAATGGTACTGTCAGAGTTGGTGTAGAATGAAATGATCAACCCCACCCCTCTAGAAATCGTGGATACGCATACATTTGAAGAGGTATTGCGGCCAATTTTGTGTGCAGCAAAAATAAATCCACCGAATCGAATCTTAGCAATACCCGAGAACATGCCTTATGTATACAGAATATCAGTGCAAAAATCTGACAGATATTTCTGTAGGATGCACAGATATTGAGCTATTTCATGTCACATAGTTTAATCAATATAAAAATTGAGGTCAAGATAATCTTGATAGTTTAATCAGATGAAAACAGAGGTCAACATAATCCAGCATACTTTAATCAAGATCATATATTCGGTCAAAAACTGAATACTCCAAAAATTTATTTGAGGGACAATTCAAAGGTGTTAATTATCTGAACCAAACGAATGTCTATCATAGATACTCCTTGGTAGGTACATGTACTGTACTGTACAACCTAATATACCTTTACTCCTTATACAACACTCGGGGATTCCCACAGATACACTCGACTAATTCGATTGCACTCAAAACGAATGCGTTGGGCGATCAATATTTTACCGAACGCCGTGGGTGTAGGAATCCTTTAACAATTTATATTTTATTAATATTTTACCGAAAACTGTGGGTGCAGGGTTACTTCGGCGATTTGAATTTATCTTCCATCCGGATGTTGTGCCCAAGTTTATTTGCAACGGTTAACGGGATTTTCTTACAGTTTGTGATAGCAACCATCGATCTTTCCCAATATCTCAGCCAATATATACCGAATGAATATGAAACTTTGTATGGTTGATTAGAAACCTCCACGGTTTTGACCTGTATAAGCCATAAGAATGAATACCCTTTAAAATATATACTCGACTTCAACCTAAAATGTGTGTCAATTTTCACTCAAGCACCTCATAACCTGTGTTAAATAATGTAAAATCGCGCAATTTTGGGATAAAAGTTTGGTATTGTGGGGCATCGAGGTACCATAAAAAATTATATCGTGCCAAGACAAAAATATCGAAGCTAATGACAAAAATAGTGATAGCATCCATGATGTCCACCCCACCCTCATAATGCTCGTTCATTCATAACTCAAATTTCAATCCCATGAACACATCCATCGAGTCTTGTATTGCTTTCGTGAAGAAGGCACGAAACCACACATTGACAAGAGAAGAACGTCTGGACGACATTCTACGGCTTCATGTATTGTAGCACTGCGGGAGGAAGCGTAGGTAGTTGAGGGCAAAATGCACAATGAATTAACTGAGGATCTACTTAGATCTCCTTAGTCCTCATC